GGTGAATGAATGAGTAACAGAGATGGTGCTCCGGCGCCTTGAAAATCAAGGGTCGTATGATATATTGATGAATGAATTTTTCTTACAAACTAACACTACTCCTAGGAAAGCAAGTAAAGATATTGAAAGTGCATTACAGGAAAATATAATTTGCTCCGTGGGAGGCTTTTGTTTGGTGTTTGAACCCTGTAAATATAGCTTGAGCCTTGTATTTATAGGAATAGTTCTTGGAGGAGTAATCGAGGCTAAAAATCTGCATGGCGGAGCCTGATTAGAGCAAGTGGGTAGTCCAATCGACGTTTGGGATCGTGAAGCATGGTGGTGTGACCCCATAAATCCCGGTGAATCTCGGCCGTTGCCCTAATCGTGGGTTCTGCGCTTCTGGCCGTGGAGACGCATTTATTGTTCTGATAGTTGGTGACCCAATCTCTCAAACTGCAAGAATTCTTGTGAGAATGTCTACGTCTAATCACTCTAATTCCTATCACCAAATCCTGACTTCAGTCACTTCCCACCTTCCCTCGTGCATTAAATGCTTATTCGTGGCCAGTGGGTTTGCTGCAATAAACAAAGGTGTTGCTTCATTAAATGAAGCGTGGGACCCTGCTGCCACTTGATGATCTGACGTTAGTACCTTTGGCCGTGATTTTGTTCGACTTCGGCCTCGGCCTATAATCAAGGCCGAGATGATCATGCCCTCGCAATTTTCCCTTTGCTTTTTAGGATGGCCAAACATCTTGGCGAAACGCCGCGCTTTAGTTTCACGAGGAAGTGTTAGGGCCGAGAAAAAGGGCCCTCTTCGGTCAGTTCATGGTCGTGATTTATTAGGCACAAACAACATCTGAGAAATGAAAATATAGAGAAGATCTATTGTGAGAGGTATGAGCTGAACCTCTGGTTTTATAGAAGAATTTAGGCCAATAGAGATGACATGTGGCGCAATTTTAGAGGGTGAAAATCTTATCTGAAATTGAAATTCAAATGAAATTTATCTGAAATTTGAAATTCTGATGAAATTTATCTGAAATTTGAAACCGAAAATCTTATCCGAAAATTTTATCCGATTATGAGATATGAATTTTATAATAAATATTGACAAGTACAAACCCAAAAATCTTATCCGAAAATATTGTCCAAATTAATTGTTTAGGTAGAAAAAAATTTGTGAAAAAAACAAAAAAATGAATAGTGTTTGCCATTTGCCATGGCAACTGCTAGAAACACACAATGCTTTTTGCAAGGGCAGCCACTATTCACATGAATAGTAGCTGCCCTAGTCCCCCTCTTTCCATGGCAAGGGTTTCACTGCTAGAAGTGCTCTTATGGTGGGGGGGTAACAAACTAGACCTCTCGCTGCTTGCTGCTTATTTGAACGATGTCTTTGAAAGCCACTACGAATTTGGTTGGGGTATGGGCTGTTGCGTTTGGGGGGAGGGGGGTGTGGGAGGATAGGAGGGAGAGAGAGAGAGAGAGAGAGAGAGAGAGAGAGAGAGAGAGATGAGTAGTGGGTAGGTTGGCTGGCTGTTGGTGGCAAGTTAGGCAGCGAGGCTAAGACTTGGTTAGGGAAGAAGACTTTTTTTTTTCCTGTTGGTTCTTTTTTTTTGGGGGCTTTTAGGGTTTAGGGTTGTCGAAGTCCATAACCTTACTTGATCTCGTCCTCAAGGTCCTACCATGGCGTCTTCTATCTTCGTGGTTGGGTGGTGTGGCTGAGGGAGGCTGTGGGGTAGGGCTAGGTATTAAGGGTCGTGTAAGAGCACTTCCAGTGGTAGCTAGTGGTAGCTGTGGCCTGAGCAGGAGGGGGCCCAAGCCCCAGTTCGATGTTCTAGCAAGCAAATCCAACCCGGGCAGCTGGTGGGCTCCACAAGCCTGGGCTGGCCCAAAGGCAAGAACATCCTGAGTTTGCTGACATCAGCAACAACAAAAAAAATTTAAAAATGGAAAAAAAAAATCTAAAAAATTACTAAAAATTTCATGATTTTTTTTTAATAAATACTTAGTCATATTCTTTACTTCCCATGTAACAACCCAAACCTTAATTAATATTTAATTAATAATTTAATGGAGAAAAAGACAATTATGCCCTTAGAATATTTTATTAAGTTTTAAGTTGACATTTTGACCGGGAAAGAATGTGGGAAATCCACTTGTACGGGTGCGTAGAGCGCGACGAAACGAGTCCGTAGACACGTAGTGGGCTCGGATCGGAGGTATAACGAAGAACTTATGAGCAAATTACATTGAGGGGCAAATTGGTAATTTGACAAGTCAGATTTTTTTTAAATATGTTTCTTCTTCTCCATTCGAGAGACCAGCCCCTCCTCTATTTCTTTTTCTTCTTTCCAACCACCTTCCCTCCTTCATAACCACCTAGCCATGCACCACCTCCGGCCAACCTGACCATCCAAGCCCTCGCCGCCACCCCAGCGACCCAACCCGACGCTAGCCGCCGTAGGACGCGCCGAATTTCCGCCGGAAACAGCTGCAGAAAATTCTGTCGGGTTTGACAGAATTTCAAACCCTCGGTTCTTCCTCCTCCGGCCACCAAATTGGACGAATTAGGCATCTGGGCACCAGGTGACCCGCATGAGGGACCTTCGAAGGGTCCAGCTAGCTCAGATCACCAGTGAGTGGACTTTTTGTTTTATAATGATTTTATGCAAATTAATCTATTATTTGATCTTGAGTAAGTTTATTTAAAGAATCTATATTTCTATGAATCGATTTATTACTTTTAAGTATTTCCATTTATATGCTGCTGAGGGGGATATCCTTAAGGGATATAGGAAAAAGGAAAATCTAATTAAATATCAGGTTTAATGGCAGCAGAGTTTTAAGTAAACATGAATTTGTTTGTTCACTAATCTTTTCATAATTTTATATATTTTTAGAAACCACCATAGGTACCCAAGATTAAATATGTTGCCTTCGGATTTTAAAGGTTGCCTTCGGTTTACATGTGTTGCCTACTGATTAAATGGTTGCCTTCGGTTATAATGATGTCTACGGACATCCAGTTGCCTTCAGATATGTCAGCATGCTTGACTTACGCTTTGCGAGTCCTAAGAGGTACCAGGGACCGTGGGAGCGAGGTACGCGGGTTAGGTCGACTAAATGTCCCCTGAATTCGGCGAGGATTACGGCTCGGGTTACTTTGTGTTTCCCGAGGTCTGCTAGGCCGTGTCACTCCGGTGGCACGAGGATGGAATTGACGGAAACTAGTGGAATTGACGGATTATAAGGAATTGACGGAATAATAAATGGGTACACCTAGGTGGTAGATTAAAGTGTTTTCAATGTTTTCAAAGACTTAATGTTTGATCAAGTATATGATATATATATATATATATATATATATATATATGATTACATTGATTTCAATACGATTATAAATAAGGAAATGTTATAGTTTCTTAACTGTTTTTACAGAGGGGTTAGAATGTTCATATGCTATTTTCTAAACTTTGTTTTTGGTCCACTCACCCTTTTAATGTTTTGCGCCCCCAGGCAGTAGACGTGCTTCAGTTCGCCACCACCGGGCCAAGCCCACCTTCCGCCATCTCTTTGTAACAACATAGGGATTTGTATAATTAAATTATACTTGTAATCTTTTGTATAGAGCTCTGATATTGCCCTTGAAGTATATTCAACTGTTAGAATGTAATTGTTTGCATGCTGGCAGTTGGTGTTTGTATTCTTGTGCTTGTCTGATAAGTGTAATGTTAGGATTGGTCTAAATACAGGGAAGACTCTGCTGAATTTTCGGCAGAAGTCAAAGCCCTAGTTTTATTTAAAATTTGACTATAAGGGCAATCAAGTCAATTGTGTTCAGCACTTGCCAGGTGTTGGACACGCACTAGGTCCAGCTCGGATTCCAAAATGGAATTTGGGTCGAGTCCTGTCATCCCACACCAAAACTCTATACAAATTCCTCTCCTCATATCTCATGTGAATAGTGGTCACCCTCGGGTTGCCAGGGCAATGGGTGGAAACACCACAAGCCTTTTGAAAGGGCTGCCACTATTCACATGAATAATGACAGCCCTTACCTTGCCCTTACCCTTTGCCATGGCAAATGAGTGGAAGTGCTCTAAGGGGTTGGGTGCTTGGGGCTGATGGGATTTAATTTTTTATTTTATGTTTATAAATATTTTTTCTTTTTTTAATTATTTTTTAATATTTTATTAATATTTTAAGCCATTTAAGTTTTAAAACGTGCGTCTCACATATGCCACATCAGAAATTGACGAAACTTCTAACGGTAAGGCTAAAGCCGGAACCAGATTGCAAAAAATTGAAAAGCTCAAGGTATGTAATTGTTAAAATTGAGAATGCAGAGACAAACATGCTTTACTGATTAGAGTTCATTGTACTAAATTGAAATTAACCAAAAATAAAATAATAATTTCCATTGCATGTCATTTTTTCACCCAATTTAGACATCTTCGTTTGGATGAAATAATTGAAAATTACATAGAATTCTTAAATGATAGAATTTAGATCTCGTTCGTTTAAATATCTGGCAATTAATAATTTATGTGTTTGAATTTATTTATATCCAATTTTGTAAATGACATAAATTACATTGAAAATGAATTCATACTCAATAGAAATTGTTAAATGACGACCCTTTTGGTGGAAATTAAACTCAGGAATCTCGATATCCAATTTTCATGACTTTTCCCGCGTGTCATTTAATAAGTTTCATAGTTAAGTTGTCAAACAATAAAAATATCAATTTCTTCACTTTAATTCTCGACTTTTAGCTAAATCCGCAGTTATTTTCCTCCCTCCAAAGAGAGAGTAAAAAAGAAAAAGAAAAAGAAAAAGAACAAAGGAGGGAGAAAAAGAAACAAGCAGACGGCACAAGCTCCTCCTTGTCCAATCCAAATAACTTGAAATCCGACCCACTTACCAACGATTCTCTCTTTGCTACAGTAAGCACAAAACCACCTCCATTAATAAGCAAGCAATGAGTTTGGCGTTCCTCCAGGGCTATTCTTCCGCTGAAGAAGAAGAAGAAGCCCAAAATCACCGCCTCCATTACCAAAACTCAAACTCGTCGGACGACGACGAAGATGATGACCAAAGTCACAAACCCAAATCCGTCTTTGACTTTCCCAAACCTCCCTCCCCTTCCATTGCCTCTGGCCTTCCTTCTGCATCTGACGTCTTCTCCGAGGTACCATTTTACCCTAATTCACCCCCTGTTTTTGTTTTTATTTCTCTTTGCTTACCATTCAGTTTGAATTTTGGTTTTTTTGCTGCTTTTTATGGGTTCATTGTGCTTTTCTTCGATTGGTTGCTGAAGATTTGTGGACCGCCCGATTTCCTCAATAACTGCGTACAAGAAGACGGTTCTACGAGGGATGACGGTCCCCAGAAAGGGAGGCATGGTGCCCGCAATGCCAAACTTCGCAAGGACAAGAAAGATTTACCTGCTGGTTGGTACTTTTTCTTAGTTAATGTTTGTTCATATTATGTTAAGGATCAATTTTATACACTTCAATTCTAAGTACTTTTGGGTTGCTTTTTATTCAAAAGATTCTCCTAAAATTGTCACTGTAGTCAGAGAGACTAAGGAGGAGTGATAAAAATTGACTTTACATTACAAATTGGATATGTGGTCCCTGTATAATAAAGTGTATAATGGATTTAAGAGAAAGAACAGGCACAAATCGCGGTTATTCAACCATATATAGATGACTGAGATGCATCTGTCTGAGTGTATCTTAAACATCTATGTTTAGTCTGTGGTTGAGATGCATGTCCTGAACTTAGGTTCTTATTAGATCAGGACAACCAGTTCACAGAATGGAAGTAACGTTGGAAGTAGACTCTAGTTATGGCGTGTTTGCTTGCATGGAATCGGGGAAGTCGTGAGTTGGGGAAGTCAAGAATAGAAGAGAGAATGAATGGGACCAACCATTCACCCATAATCAATCTAACTCCTGGTGTTTCAGATATTGTATTACGTATTTTAGTGTGGAACCTACTTAATTTTTTATTTCGTACATATTAGTAAACACCGTGGAAGTCATGAATCGGAATAATTCCAGTACCCATTGATAAATTTTCTTATCCTGAGTTTTCTTGAACTGTCTTGCGTAGATCTTCACCTCGTCAATGTGATGCTTTATTTTGTAATTGGAAGTCTTAAGTCAGACAATACCTAGATGTCTTAGCAACATAAAATTATGGTTTCTTGGGTTTTTCTTATAAATTCGTATCTGTTGAGTTCCAATCAAATCTGTTGGAATAATAATTCAAAAGTGTTTGTTAGAACTGTTATTTACGATACTCTGTCGAACTGATGGGTGTTATCTGTGTTCTGGATGCTCATGGCAGTGGTTTTTCAGAAGGAACAGCTAATTTGAAAGATATAGAAGGGAAGTTTGTTAAATGTTGATCAAAATTTTAAAATTATTATGCATATAGTTCTCTGTGTGTCATTGTCTAATAATGATATGGTTTTTACAACCTCTTTCTCCATATGTATGTTTTCCTTTTTATTTTTTATTTTCTATAGCAGCAGTTCAGACCCTTGTTAAAACTGTGTACAGGTGCTGTAGTGGAGTCCAAAGCTCAGTTAGTTGGAATCCATGAACGAGTAAGAAGTGATTTTGCGGGTAACCAACCTCCAACATCAATAGTTACAAGCACGGCTCAAGGTGGCAAGCGTCTGCCAACTGCAACGAATCCTAGTGCAGAGGATGCTGCAGAGCTTCTGAGGTTATTGTTGCTGTTTCTACTCCCCACTCCCTTGTTTGTTTGCCTGTGTTGTTTTTTGTTTTTCTGAATCTTTTTCTTTTCTTGGTTCTGCTAGTTCTGAAAGACATAGCTGTTTTAGATTATTTTTATTTTTATTTTTCAGTGAATCAGGTATTTTAGTTGGGTATTAGTCACGCATTTGGCCTTGTAATTGCTAATCTGAAATATTTCTCCTAATAGGATGTGTTTGCAATGTGGAATACCCAAGACCTACTCCAATGCACGGGGAATGGTCTGCCCAGCTTGCGGTGATCGTCCTGTAGACACAACCAACGATTCCAAGAAGAAGGGATCTACCATCAAAGATAAGGAGAAGAGTAAGAGGATGAAGGGCCAGTCATCTCATGGTACATGGAAAAGTGAAACTGAAATGCAGCTTCGGCAGCAGTTTGACTAGTAGAAGTTTGTTCAAATATTACCTGGAATAGCATAACATCTCGTAGGTTTATGGTTGTATCATCTAGCTGACCCATTAGTTCAGTTAGCAAACCCAAAGTTCATCAGGGCGTATGGGAAGTATTCTGTGTTTTGGTTTCATGTCAAAATGTGTTTATACTCGTTTCTGTTATCTATTAGTAGTGGTAACAGGTCCAATTCAACCAAAATAGTTAAAGTAGTTCTTGCATAAGCAGTAGTTGCAAGGGTGGCAGCAGCGATCTGTAGTTGCAGGTGACTTTGCTCGGTGACGGGGAGCTTTGTTTGCTCACTTTTGGTCACGTTCTCCATGGCCAGAGTAGCTTGGCTTTTTTCACCATGCAAGCTTTATCTTCAGACTCCGGGGCAGCCAAACCTTGAGAGAGGCTGTGCCTTTGATATGCTGAGGCCTCAAACCAGTTAGTTCTATCCTCCGACTCAAACACGGACATGTCAGTCGGGGCGTGAACAATAAAACACTTGCATGATCATCATCCTAGCACCGTAGAAAAATTGCTCCGTAATTGAGATAGGATGAATCCTGGGTAGGGAAGAAGAGTCATGTGGCATGACAGGGAAGATTTTTATCCAATATAAGAAAATAGAATAAATTTTGTTAAATTTCATTCATTAATCACGCTTTTGTTAGAGTTGCGTTGTTATGAATCAATTTTTGGGGACGCGACATTGGGCTTGCCAATTTGTTTTTCAATAGATTCGTACAACTATCGCCAGTGTAATTTGATTTAAGTTCCTTTATTTTCACAATGGTAAATCAAGATAACTCTCACTAGCTCCGGAAAGTAAAGAGTATATTGATTTGAGGATCAAATGACCACATGTTTGTGAATTTGGAAAGCATGTGATTATCCACTTCATCAAAGAACCACATGGTTGACGAGTACACCAATCACAGTTGCTGGTATGAATGCTCCAACCATTTATTTAGAGGTACATTCATCATCTTGTGCACAACCTGAACAACATGAGTTCATTCGTAGCTGGATTTAAAGAATTGAAAAAGAAACCCTACCAATCAGAATTGAAAAAGAATCAAATAAATAAACAAAAACAGAAATCCTAGCACAATACAAGTCGAGAGGAAGTAAAGTAAAGTTGACACAGAGAATACCACAAGCAGAGGAGAAGACGGGAGGTCGAGAACGAGTATAACCTTTGGTTTACTTGGAAAAAGAGGGTTTTGTGGGAGGAACCTTGGTTGATTGGTGTGGGATCAAATAATCCGGCTTCCAATCACAATATGCCATATGGACAAGAAGAATATCTCCTAGGTCAATTAATTGAGTCCATTTATTTGACAAATTAATTGATACTAAAAATAGGGATATTATCTTTATTTAAAAGATAATATCACCAATTTAGGATATTATCTTATTTAGGAGATATCATCATCAATTAGTGATTTAATCCCAATCAAATCCATAATTGATTCAATCCCTACAATTTGAGAAAAGAATATATTCCTTCCAAATAAGAAAATATTCTTTGAAAAACCCTAAATGCCTAGAGCCCTATAAATACATGGCTACATTCAACACACAAGGTAATCTGAACTAACTTAGACATCAAAGGGTCTTTGGCTAACACTCCCCAGGTGTGGTCTTTTACTCCTGTTTGATTTTACAGGAATCGAAGGATCTTCAAGCGAATATTCTCCCGCAAGATATTTACAAAATATTTGGTGATTTCATTGAGAGTGCAAGTTATACTCAACGCGTGCTCTTGAATCAAAGAAATCTGTTTCCACTTTTTTCGCTAAACCAAAGCCTTCCGAACAACCATGGCCGAAAGCAAACGCACGAGATGCAAGACCGCGGCGATGGCTCAATCCACGATGAGCCAAAGCCATTCGTCCCACAATCCCACAATTGAAATGAGGCACCACCTCCTCACGACGCCACCGCTGTGAACCTACCACACACCCGTGCCGCCGCGCCACCACATGGTTCCATGGTTGGAGCAGCGCCGCAACCACAAGGCATAGCGGCTGGAACCAGCAACCTGCCTCATGGCCCTACAGCCGAAACAATTGTGCAGCCATACGAACTTGTCGCTTCCAGTGTCACCCCACAGCCACACGAGTCCGGCCACAATCTCCTTCATAGCCCGTCGGCTAGTGTCATCTCGCCTCACGGCTCCTTAGCCGAAACCCACTTGCAACCGCAAGGCCTAGCGGCTGGATCCAGCCACCATCACGGCACCGCCGCAGCACAAGGTGAAACCTCCCATCAAGGCAATCTCGCCGCCATCACAAGTTACGGCCTGATCTTGAAACAATTTCACCCATTCCCACATTTGGCTCCGCGCTGGACGTACGCTTCCGTGTACACCTCCAATGAAACCCTAACCTATGTGCATTTGGGCTCCACGCAAGTCTCTCCTCTCGATCTGCAAAGTCAAGTAGAACTCCGTGTTAGAGTCGACCAACTAACCCAAAGAATGGACGACCAAAACAACTTTGTGAGGTAGCTCCTCAACCAACTAGACTTGGTCTAAGACCTTGGCCTTGGACCGCAAGGTGAAGAGAGAAAGGTAGACGAACACACTGGCGAGCAATTCGAAGAGCCAATTCCCATTGACAAGCCACAGGGAATCCCTCACAAGCGCAGTCCCCCAATACGCCACACAGGCAGGACATCCGAGGAGGTCAACCCTTGCAAGTCAATAAGGAAGTCAGCCAACGGTGTTCGAATCATGGAGGTCATCAACGTGACCCGCAGGCTATGCATGCATAAGATGTCGAGAAGCTTGTAAATAATCGGCTTCGAGACTTGAAGATCAGAGGAGATTTCATAAATGCTCTACACAGGGAGGTGGACCAAGTGAACTCATCGCCATTCACCGCTGAGATCGAGCAGGTTGCTCCACCAAAGTGATTCTCAACTCTTTGTTTCACACACTTCAAAGGGGATTTCAATCCCGAGAGCCATCTGAAGCACTTCAAAAGTGTTATGATTCTCTACAAGGCCGAAGAAGCGCTAATGTGCAAGGTGTTTGCAATAACCTTGCTAGGAGCAGCCTAGGATTGGTTCCACACCTTGCCATCCAGATCGATCAGCAGCTTCAAGGAGCTAGCTTTCGTCTTCACCAAGGAGTACACTTCTTATTGGATGATCAAAAAGAACCCTGACCACATGTCCCTGACCACATGTTCAACCTACGCAAGAAGCACGATGAATCCCTTTGAGATTACATCAAGAGGTTTAAGGCAGAAAAGGAAAACATCGTAAGGTACGATGACCAAATCGCGTCCTCGGCCTTTAAGAAGGGCTTGCCAGCTGAACATGACTTATACTATAAGCTGACCAGTTCTCCCAACTAGACTCTAGCATAGGTCTTTGGGACTGCGGAATGCTAAACGCTCTGGGATGATGATCAAATCTCCATGAAAAAGTCTACCATGCAGGCTGATCAACCGACCAAACAGGCAAGTCTGAGAAGCGACAGGTTTGCCAACAAGGGCAGTACCAAGCACAAGTCACATCCCCAAGAAGACACTCAGGTGGATGAGAACTACACCAAGTTTTCTATCCCCATACATCAAATCCTAGTCCAAGTAAAAGACAAGCCTTATGTGAAGAGACCACCACCCTTGAAAGGAGACCCGGACAAGAAGGATACCAGAAAATATTGTGCCTTCCATGGGGGAAACGGGCACTTCACAAATAATTTCTTTGCCTTGAAAAAACACCTCAAAGAACTGGAGAGAAAAGGCCATTACATGAAGTTCATAGCAAAGCAGGCCATCCAACAGATCGAGGACCCTAATTCTGCCAATGAACCTCCCCAAAAGGTCATAAGGATTAACACAATCCTAGCAGACTTAGAGGAGTCTGGGTTGACCAACAAATGAAAGAGGAGGAAGATTAAATAGGCCACTGTTATCTCCCAAGTCTTAGCCGGCCCTCCATCAGTTGAAGAAGATCCCGTGATCGACTTCCAAAAGTGAGATTTAATTGGCCTTGATTTAGTCGACCGAATCTACGCAGACGAGGACAGCACAGCCAACATCCTACAATTGTCAATTGTCCAACAAATGGGCATGGAGACAAAGATCAATAGATAAGCCAGGTCACTAACCGGCTTCAATGATGACCTCGATTACCATTGGCACAATAGACCTCGACGTATATATAGATACTTTTGTAAAAGGAAATAGAGAAAGTATATAAAAGGTAAGAGTAGTTCTCAATAGCTCAATGCTTAAGCGTCTTATTCATCTTTAGTGCCTACTATTTATAGGCATAGGAAATACATCACCATTTACCACCTAAGTAGTGGGTTACAAAGCCTAATAACCAATGATAAATATAGTATTTAGTGCATAGGTTACAACTCTATAATAATAGGTATAATGATGGGTATAATGGAGGAAATACAATCGACTTATGGTGGGCATCCATAACCTTTGAGTTTACAACACTTCCCCTTGGATGTCTACCATGCATGGAGTATGCCTCGCTAAAACCTTGCCAGTAAAAACTAGTGGGACAAAACCTGGGCGAAGGGAAAAAGAGTACATATCCATGTGTAATATAGAACGTGTGACACTGCCTCATTAAAACCTTGCCAGGAAAAACCCAGTGGGATAAAAACCAGGACAAAGGAAAAAGAGTCCAGTGTGAAGGTCTCAATGATGACACGCCCCCCTTGATGCTGGCAAAAGATCCTTGAGTTGACTCATTCCAATATTGTAGTTGGCATTGCTTTAGTGAATAAATTTGCAAGTTGTTGCTGGATTGTATTTGTTGAACATCTATGTCACCATTCTTCTGAAGTTCATGCATGTAGAAATTTTTTGGTGAAATGTACTTGGTTCTGTCACCTTTGATGTATCCAGTTGTGATTTAAGCAATACAAGTAGTGTTATATTCATATAGTAATGTTGGAGAATCTTTGACTGAAGACAACCCACTTGTTTCTCAAATATGTTGTATAATGGATCCTAGCCATATACATTCCCAACTTGCTTCACGCAATGCAAATATTTTAGAATGGTTTGAAGAAGTAGTGGCTAATGTTTGCTTCACAGACCGCCATGATATAGCAGCACCACCACAAGTGAACACATACCCTATTTGTGATCTAGCTTTATGTGGATCAGAAAGATAACCAGCATCAACATAGCCAA